TTTACAGATTACATTACTTCCTCAAAGAAAACTCATTTGTTTTCCACTATATTAGTGGAATTTTTCGAGTTATTAATATGATGTAATTAATTTGAATCAAAATATCCAAAATAACATCTTATTTTGATATAGAACTTGTAAAATACACCTTTTAAGCACATGGTGCTGAAAACATTTGTTTTTCAAAGTTAACATTGTTATGTATAACTGTCTAAGAAATATACAGTAGTAATATCATCAGTAAATAATTTGATTATACCATTCAATTGGAAATTGTCTAGGGAATAATTATAAATAAGGAAAAACATGTCCAAGAGAGAGCTTTTTACCTATATAAACATATTGTCTTCTAACATCCAAAAAATTTGAAACCATTCAAGATTACCTCTGATTCCAATATTGGATAATTTTTTTAACAATATACTAGTTAACTGAATCAAAAACTTTACACAAATCGAGACCAAAGAAACATGTTTATTTTTATAACTTTCCATTTAAGTTTGAGACACTACCTCCATAGCACTATCTATGTGTCATTAGATCTGCGAAAACCATATTCAGCTTTATATAGAAGGTTATTTTCAAGATTTCAGTAGCCTTCTATGTATCAATTTCTCTTAATATTTTTGCAAAAACTGGAAGCACAGATAATTGGTCCAATTTTTTCTTACTTTTGTATATGGGCAGAACCTTTGCAATATGGAATTATTCCACTCAAACTGTTTTTACAATTTTTGCAGATATTTTCTCAAATTCAGATGCTTTATTAGAATTGAGTTTATCAATTATATCCTCTATTTCAGATAAACAAGTAGGTTCTTGAAACAAAGATAAAACAATGGGAATCATTAGACATTTTGTCGTATTAGGAGTAGTAGTGGCAGTCAAATTTTCTTAGTCGAAATTGAACTCTAATATTTGATACTGAGAAACCTTATCATTTTAATTTTTTTTTGCAGAATCTGACACTGTAATGATTTTCAATTATCTCGTTCACTATTGTAACAATACCCTCTACATTTGTCAGAGATTTAAACTGAAATCAAATGAATTAACTAGATAATGTTTGTATTTAAACAAGGTTTTTTCAGTTATTTCTATTATTTGACAAATTTTCTATGGAAATTCAACCAAAAAATACTACTGGCATATTTAGATGTCAAAAAGAAAGTTATCACCACACGTTGTGAAAAACAAATGATTGTCGAAGGGTTAAAATTTGAAAACAAAACGATTTTTCTACTTTTTCAGAAAATTTCAGGGTATTTGGAAAATGGTTGAAATCTGTTGAAACTTGTGTTTCCGTCACTCTCAAAGAACGAAAACCCTCAGACGCAAATACTTGTGCGAGCTAAAGATGAACAAGGTCTTACCTTTTAACGTGTGATCCCTGGTTGTAGATATTTAATTTTATACAACTTTTGTGTTCAATATTCTCAATAAAAGGGCCACTACAAAAATTCAGACCATTTCTTTCTTCAATACCTATTTTTATGCTGTTCATTTTTTCTTCTTCAAAAAGTATTTGCGTTAGCCTAAAATACTTTTTGCACATATTTTGTTTAATATGTGAAAAAGTTGAACTATTTCAAATTCTATTGATGAAAAAGTAAATTGAAGTTTAGTGGTCAAAGGAAACAATCACTTACTTGCATATGAGACAGGACACTGTTAACAATAGCCAATCCAAGATCGGGAATATTGTACAAATCTCTTCCAAGAGAAGGCCCGAGAGAACCCATCATATGATAACAGCTCTCATGCAATCCCGACAGGAACCTCTGCATCCTTTCAAGGGGGCTCTGAACAACCTGCGTTTCACTAACCTCAGATACGGAATGTCCGATCAGCCCTAACAGATTCATTTTTTCAGTTTCCTGCATCGCCAAACAACCCTTGTAACTGCTATGTATGAGATTTTGGGCTACAGGCGTGAAAAGTTCATTGAAGATTTTGAGGAGAGAGAGAATATGGGGCAAGAGAGGAACGATGTGGGGGGCGGCAGGATTTCGACAAACTGGATTACCCGATTCTGTGAGAGAAACCACAAATCCTCCGCGGGTAGCCCTTTCCGGATCATCCGGCCAGGCACAACGTTTAATAGCTCCTAAGAGAAGGTTCACGCAAAGGATAATGTTGCTTCGGTTTTGGCCGCAATCATCTTCCATGTTCGTAGGAACCGGAGGTTTGTCCAGTCCAACAAATCTGATGAATTCTGGGGCACCTCTGAAAGCACCTGAAATATAATTGATTGATCGAGAAAATTTTCATTCATCATCAAAAAGTCACTAAGCCTCAATAAACTGTAAAATGAGGATAAAAGGTAATCACTAGTTGCGATTCTTGTAGGCTCGCAGATAACTGACACTTAGTAAAACAATTTGAGATTGTTATGATTCACCAATTTGAAAAAAAAAATACAATATTTCATAAATTTGTTCACTCGACATTTCATTTAATGATAAAAATTGAAAATTTCAAGATAGAAATGAAAAATTACATGTTTTTAAACTGAAAATGGAAAATCATGTGAACAAGTACACATCACAAGTTGAAAAAAAATGACAATTGGGAAATATTATGGAAAGAAAAAATTTCAAGTGAAAAATATTCCTAAATAGTGTAGTATTCTTTCCGTCAAGAGATCTGTTAATCTCCATTAATTATTGCACTGATTATCTTTCTTCTTCTAATCATTATTTTAATGGTTTTCCTTAAGGTTTTCAATATTATTATATACTAATATATTATATATTATATATTATTGTTATTAATATTAGTTTTGCTGTACTTATTTTTAATGTCCTGTAAATAAACTGTTAGGCAATAAACAGTAATTATATTTATAATAGAACGAATCGGGCCCAGAACTGATCCCTGAGGGTCTACTGATTGATGAATTGCTTTATTGCAATTTTATTAAATTGTTGAAGAAAAGGGGGACTTTTTTGGCATATATGGTATTATTTTATTGCATCTTTATCTTAGAAAGTTTGTATAGGGTACTTGGAAAATGTGGTTCCAGATTGTTTCCACAAGTAACTAAAACCAAAGACAGAATGACCACATATCATTGCTAATACCAACATAGCTCAAGTAAAAAATCCATTATATTTAATTAAAAAAAAAAAAGAATAGTGTGTTCAAGATGGGGAGAATCATTATGGAAAATCAGAAATTGTACAAGATACAAAGTTGGTTGAATTAGGGAAAAATTTTATTTGCAAAACGTTTAAAAATTTAGGATATTTCGATTACGTGTGATACATTAGTGAAGTTGTCGGCATAAAGCCTAACTTACTAAAAACTAAAGTCTGTTCTGTCTGTTTCTCAGACAGAAAACGTCGGATTAAAAATCTATAACTATCTCCTTTAATAACATCAGAAAAAAATTTAAATGTTATTGGCCAATTTTCGCTCTTTTCAAATATCTCATGAATTAACCATAATTTTCTATATTTCCAAACATCACTCAAATAGGTAAGCTCTAAAATGAACACATTTTCCTTAATATAATCAACTGTGTATCTTTTACAGTTTTGATTTTTTCATGCTGATCCACCTTTTCTTGGACGAGTCCAAGAAAAGGAGGAACCATAACTATATATAAACCATTCAGGAAAACAGTGAAATATTCATTCTTGGAGAAACGTTATGAAGAAATGTTTCAAATGATGACTGTTTCATTTGTTGTAGTCTATATATAATTTTTGTCTTTCATTTTTTTTTTTTAGTTTTTATATTGTTATATGTTTTATATTTGCGGTCATACATAGGTTTATATATAATACTTGATCTCTTAACTTTGTCAGCAAGAATTCACCAAGAAATTTTTTATCTAACTCTCACAATATAAAGTATAGGCAATATTTAATTCAAATAAAACTCACCTGAATTAACGATTTCAAGAAACTGGCCATTCGCCTCCCTCAACATCTCTCCAACAAAGGTACTCTGCCTATCATAGTCTCCAAAATGATTTGAAATTAGTAACAAAGCTTCCTGTAATGTCACTTTTTCAAGACTGCTCAGATTAGCCGGCCCGTCAGTTCTAGAAAGATTCTCTACGGTCGCTCTAATTTGATCAAATACTGGCAGTAATAGAAGAGGGTATTTGTTGCCAATTTTTACCATAAGAGATGCCGCATGACGTCTAACATTTTTCACTGCCCGAGACCTGGTACTTATAGTTTGGCCTTCTGGAGTGTAGACTAATGTTGCGAAAATTTTCTCCAAGACTTGGGGAAGTAGCGCTGCACCCGAAGCTGCTACTGAATTTACTTGAAAAAATATTTTATTAGTTTGACAATGTTTAAATAAGTAGAATAATGACATAATGAGAAGCCGCCTATTGAAATAATGTGATCACTACTATTCAATCATATGTCACATTTGCTTTTGTATAGTTTCATAGACTTATTCAAAACTCATTAATGCAAATCTTAATTTGAGAATGTTCACTAAGTATAAATAAGTCCACTCACCTTGAGGTGCCATCTGACCGGTAGACATACTAAGAAATACGAACAAGGCTGATATACATGTTAGCAGAGTTGACAATATCATTGGATCAGCAGGCTGATATGCCAGACATAACTGGAGTAATCTCAAACCAGAGGCAATGGAAGGTCTTTCTGTAGCTTGCAATACTCTGCTCAAAATACTTTCAAGGAAATTAGCTAGAGCATCCCATTCCTGATAGAAGGGATCAGATAATGTAAGACCATTCGTTAAGTTTGGCACTCCCAGACATTTCATCAGCCATTGCTCAACGTAGTTGAATGTCACCAGCGGAGCAACTACGGTAGCTTGTCTGAAAATTGAAAAACAAACATAAAATAATAATTTCAGACAAGCAATGACTAGAAGTGCAATCAGACACAATCCAGAAAAGTTGGGATATTAACGAAATTTTAGATAATATTGACCAAATTAAAACAAAATTTGAAGAATTCAAAACGTTTGACTTATTTGAATTGAAAATCATTGTAATTATTGATGACTGTCTCAATAAAAAAAAATAGGACCAGTGTGAAGAATTTCAACCCATTAATACAAAAAAAATTACTACCTCGCAATCTAGATTTTAAAAAAGGAAAATTCTTGTGAGTGTATTGTTTTGAGTATTGAATTTAAGAAATTTCATTACTGTCCTTCTCATTCATCACTGGATAACTATTGTTTATAACTGTTTTTTTTTTTAATTTTTTACCTTTATCACATCTAATCTTACCTGAACGAATCCAACATATCCGACCTACATCTATAAAAGTATGCTGAAAATTCTTCCTCGCTGTCAAAATCCAGCTTTGCATACAATGCGCTTTCAGTGATTTCGTTACCCGAAGGACTTCTTCCTACAGGATAGCTAAACTTGATGATTTTTGGGGCGGTGAACTGGATCCATTGCAAGATGTATGACTGAAACACTGGATCTCTAGACACGTGATCGTTCTTCAACATACTATTCCACAATGGGTTTGCTAAATGCGTCAAAGTGAGGCTTGGATGACTACTGTAGGCTAGTATAGCTTCCAAGAACATTGAAAAGTTGTTTGGGCGAGAAATACTCTCCTTACCCCATAAATTACAGACCTGAGTTGATAGGCCACCTAGTACCTGATGACAAATTGAAAAATATTAGAGAATAATTTACTCCAAGTCAATACTACGTTGGTATTGAGACTAGATTGAAACTTTCAGTTTTGAAGTTCCAATATATACAGATAATTTATTCATCATTGAAGTTTTTTACATGATGGTACAAAACTTATCAGACTAGTCAAAACATATAGTATTAAAACTCATAAAAACATTATAGAGCTCACACGAAAATATGAAAAACTCACAGACAGTGCATCAAACAGTGAGGTACTCCTCTATTGTATAAAAAGTATTTTCATTATATCAATATGTGTTGAATTACCCCAGCCCAGAAGATCAAGCCATATGTGAGTGCCAACGACACTAGACCATGATATGCCATTCTGAGAACCTCTAAAGATACAGTGTCCTTCAGTTGTCTGATAATAAAATTGATACTACTCAATTTCCCTACCAGATTTTCGATATGAGTTCTCCATGCCAGTTTCTCATCAATTGTTACACCCAGAAATTTTATGTTTGATACTTGCTCAATTGACTTATGATTTATTTTAACAAGAGAGCTTGCGTTACTGCTGATATTTTTTTGTTGAAAAACCATGAAGAATGTTTTGGAAGCATTTAAAATCAATCCATTATTCAGGCACCATTGAAAGAATTCCTCAGCGCATACATTGCTCAGATGAATGCTTTTGTCCAGATTATCTTGTGATATTATATGATTTGTATCGTCGACATAAATTATGGTTTTTTTGCGGGGAACCACATGATAAAATCATGTCATTAATAAATATGATAAAAAGCAGTGGACCAAGTATTGTGCCTTGTAGTACACCCATAGAAACATTGGTTGACTTTGATTTGAACGAATTCATCATGACAATCTGACTTCTATTTTCTAAATAGGAAGAAACCCATCTATTCGCTACTTCACGAACTCCAATATGGTTCAATTTTTGAAATAGAAGCTCATGATTAACAGTATCGAATGCTCTACTGCGATCAAAATATAGTGCAATAGGATATTCCCTAGTATTCAAGTTATAATAAATCATATTACATAATTCGTTCATAGCTAATTCTGTAGATTTTCCAGCCCGAAATCCATGTTGACATCCTTTCAATAAATTATTTTTCAAGAAATTCCTTAGACGGAAATTGAACTAATAATCGATTATTTTTGCTAGTTGACTTTGTAAGCATACATTCCTGTAGTTGTTGATGTCTTCCTTGGAACCTTTCCTCTTATATATCGGTACTGACTTTGAAACTTTCAGTTTTTCAGGATATTTTCCTGAACTGAATGATTCATTGATTATGTGACACAAAGGATAACATACTGCATCACTAACAGCTCTCAAGCACTTACCATTTATCTCATCAATTCCAGCGGCTTCTTTAGAACACACTTTATGTATTGTCTCTTTTATCTCAAGTGGACTTGTTGGAGTCATGAAAAAAGTAATGCTTGAGAAATGTTCTAATTTTACCTTATTCAAATTGGGGTCAATACTTTGTATATTCATAAAAACTTTCAGAAATTCAAATGTTAACACTCTAAAATGTTGATGTATCGTGTTTTCAAACTGGCGAAGCAAATAAATGAATAAAAATACCTTCAACAAAATTTATACTGTAAGAATATTCATTAATAAATAATAATCCTAATTTTATTAAAAGAATATTAGTAATCCATTTTTATACTAGGCAAAAGTTACTCGAAATTCAAGATGTTATTAAATTTCTATACAGGTTCAAAAAATCAGCAGAAAAACACCTTTTTGACCATATTTCGGTAAGAATGCTAGTATATGTTTCAGGCGTTTCATGATTGGCAAACTAATTTTTGACATATTTAGAAGAATGTATTTTAATTGAAAAATTTCATATTTCATCACAGTTGATGAAGTGAGTTAGTGTTTTGGTTGTATAAAATCTATATTTAGTTCAGGTGAAGTTGATATTGTTCATCCTATGACAATGACTACCCAAATTAACGCATTTGTAGTTGGAATTATTCATATTGTATTGTAATAAAAACGAAGAATAATTAACATTTCACGTTATGGATTTTCATCAAGTGTCAAGTCATATTTTGAACATTGCTACGATTTACGAAAACTGAGTAAAATATAGAAGTTATTGAAATAAAAACGAAGAATAATTAACATTTCACGTTATGGATTTTCATCAAGTGTCAAGTCATATTTTTAAACATTGTTACGATTTAAGAAAACTGAGTAAAATATCGAAGTTATTGAAGTAGTTGAAATTTTTTTTGAAATCATGAGAAATAAACCCAATTTTGTAAATTTTTTAATAAAAAGATTGAAATTTTGAGGAATGCTTATCACATGATTTCCCTTTTTTGTTATTTTTCATTTTGATCGATGCAGACGTCAAAGTTAAATTTCTGAAGAGCTATTAAATAAAATCAGATTCTGACGGTCACACTGTATATTAAATAAAAAATATATGACGAATGTTAAATATAGCAAATCAAAATTTTAGACATTTCTGGAAAGTTGTTTAGGGTATTTACTGAAACTTTCAACAACTTCTATTTGGTTTGGTTTTTCAGAAGTTTAAATTTAGATGTATTATTGAGTTTTTCCAGTTTTTAATGTAGGTATACATTTCATCTTCATCTTGATTTTTGACAGTTTCCACTCTTAGAAACAATTGTTCAAAAATGTTCATTCAATAAAACAGTATATAAAACCACCCTACAACTATACTCTGAATTTTGCCCAATTATTAAACATATAAAAAACTCCAGTAATATTCATTACTACACCAAAGGTTCCAAACAGTGCATCACAAGTATATAAAAAACACTAGATAATTTAAGTATCTTTTGTGTTGTAATTTTATACTGCTGTTTTATATTTATCAATTTACTGATATATGTATGCTGAATATTAGGTAATCCCATTTCAGTCATTTATTTCATTAATAACTTAATTATTTGATAACGTTTGATCACCTGTATCTTAGAACTACTTACTTGTATCAATTTCTTCTTAAATAAGTAATGTGACTCATCTGATAAGCTGCCAGGGTTCTTAGCTGCCGTCAAAAGATATTGCATTGGTTCAGTGTTAAATAATAGTAAAATGGGTTTCCTTTCCTCTACCTTTCCTTTGCGATTCACAATCTGAGAAAAAAATTAAAAATGGTAAGTTGACATCAGCATAACCAACCCTAAAACTCTATAAGCGAATGTACATGTTTTATGAATAAAAATTTCGAATTTTTCTATACCCAACATGCACTAGGTTAGGATCTGTTTTCTGTTGTAAGAATAAACATTTTAGAATCAATTTTCAGTTGAAGGGATATTCGAAATAGATGTCATGCAACTAGAACAAGTGCAGAAGCCTGTTAGAACGCTAGAAACAGAAAAATATTATAATATCATAAACATTATTAGAAACGATAGAAAATATCATACTTATTAAATAAAACATGAATTTGAGTCGTTTCGAGGTACAGGTGTTGAAATGAGGTAAATTATAAGTATTTCTACCAAAACTAGAATTCCTACTGAAAAAAGTAGATGTATGAATTATCAGAATCTACAGTTCTGCATGAACAATTTTTCCAAATGATCTAACATTTTTTGAGAAAAATGAAAAAAAAAAACAATTTTGTTGTTTTTTATATTTTCCTCTACGAATATCATTTGGTTTCACGATATTGGGTGGAAACTCACTTTTTTGTGGCCTTAATTTTCTGTAATTTTTTTAAATCGTAATATTATTCAGTGTAAAATTTTATACTGATGTCAACCCTTAAAATACCTCATTTTCAACTTGATACCCATGTGCTGAAAACAGTTTATACAAAATTAACAGTGTCTTTCTTTGTTGAATTATCTATTTTCAGGTGATGTCGCAGTTACCATGGATTTTTTCTTAAAAATCCGTATTACTAAATTGTTTTTTCTTGTGTGTCACCTGGAAAATATATCAATTGAAAAATACTCCTGCTGATTTTGAAAAAAAAACAGTTTCTAAGACATTGATATTTTCATTAGACATGAATTGACTTCGTATATACTATACCATCCCTAAAAGTCCACTCTACTTTATTTCTCTTAGCTTGGATTGACTTTCAATTAATTTTCCTGTTATAATCACAATATTTCCCATCCTTCCTCATTATAATTGGACAGTATAATCTCATTATTATTAAACATTAATCCCATATTGTCTCAACATACAAAAAATTGTAATCTTTATACTTATTTGGATGGTTTTCAGTAGATTATATTACATTCATTGCAGGCGATTTTTTGAAACAAAGTGAGCGGTGCAAACTAATGCATAATTGAGTATATTTTTAACTAGTGATAAATATTTTGAAAATCAATAATTTTCATAACAGTGTATCTTAATTCAGTGAACTTTTTTGTAGAATAATGTATATTTCTAAAATATAAGTATGTACCATATAACTTTATTTTTCTAATATAAAAATTTCTATTTCATCAATGTCACTGAAATCTAAGAAAATTAATGAATACTATATAACTTCATTTCTCTAGAATTCTAGAATATAATTTTCTAATTCATCTATCTGGGAAATCAATTTTCATATATTGATATTGCAGTCATTTTTTTTTCAAGCCAATTCCATTTGAAGAAAAGTTTTTTCAGTTTTTGTATTTTCTGACAAATTTTTTCATAGTAATGTTATTTTTTTGCACCATCTGGAAGTAGGTAATTCACCAAAAAATTTCACCATTGATTTTGAAAAAATACATCAAAATAAAATGTGATACTGAATATTTCGATTGGATAAAGTACAGCATATCAAAAACATTGAATAGATTATCCTTTGTGGAGGAGTCAATGTTTCTTCAAGTATTTTGGGTTTCTAATCTTCCACAATCTGACTGATTAAACTTTACAAAGGTTTATTTTACAGATTACTTTTCAGTTTGCCCTTCATTACACTTTTGAACAGATTCTCTGTTGATCTATATTTATTTGTTTTTCAGATTGTGAAAGGTAGAAAACTTAAGAAACTTCAAGAAACAAACCAGTTATTCAAAATTTTCTCGGAAAATTTCTGGGAAGTTGGAAAAATGGTTCATACAAACGTTGTAGATCTTTATATTTTGCACAATTTTAATATTCAACCTGTTCCAATAGAAGTTCTCAGTTTCAGTGAAAATCATGAACAACCATTTTCCACCCCATTTCGCCAACAGTACCTTAACTGAGAGTACAAATATATAAAAAATGAGATTAGGTTAGGTTCAGAAAATGAACATTCAGCTAATTCAAATAAAAAATGTGGCTAGTACTTGAGTTCTTACTTGTGAAAGGCATTCAGCTGCAGGAGACTGAAAAGCAGTGTCATTTAATAAAAGACAGAGTATCTGAAGTAACCTTCCATTCTGGGCCATTATATGAGACATAGAGACCCACTCTACAAAGCCAGTGAAAGTTAACAAAACCACTTGTACAACTCGTCCGTGAGCGCTTGCTTTAACTGCATTTGTTTCACTAAAAATTCTAAATTGTCCAACATGCAACTCGATGAGTCTCAGGAAGAAATCGAATATGACTGCCATGTTTGCCGTAAGTGCGTGATATATGTCCTTTCTACGTTGATTTGATTCTAGAGTCTGGAATAGAATATATTAACCACAACTTTATCTTTCTATCATCAATATTTACAGTTATTGTTAGATATCTTATATTTATATAAATTCACTAGTATCATTAGAGTATATCGAAGTTAATTTTTAATTTTAATTAATGTTGAGAGCGTATGTGCTAATAAAAAGTTTCATGTAAGTGCACATATAATATTTATTGATTTCTTTAGGACATCCTAATATACATACATTATTATAAAAATATATAAATAAATGACATAAATAACAAAAATGATGATATGATAGAAGAAAAAAANTTAATAAAATCTTTTATTGATTATTTTGTGTATGTACATATATTATAGCTACCAAAAGCCAATTGTTACTTTTGTAGGATTAAAAAATGATACTAATAATTTATATACACAAAATCAGTATTATCATTTTTAAGCTACGTTTCACATAAGAAAAGAATATTAGGTGCTTGCTGGTTAGATTTTTATAATAATCATATTTAATATGTATATATAGAGAGCGAGTTTACTTTAATTCGTCAACTTATTTTAGCGTTAAAACAGTTTTTCAGGCGTAATTACACGACTTCCAAATGTTATGTTCTCTAAAATATAATCAAATGTGTAAACTGAGTTGTATGGATGTAAAGTTTTTTTTTGGATGACACCTTAGCTCATAACAAAGGATAGAAAAATTGCCAAAATAACTTCTTTCATCATTTACTGAATGAACACCATATCTGAGTAATAATAACTCCGTTCTCATTAGTAGACTTGGCTCCAATAGTTTAACGTGTTATGATGACGTGACATATTGCTCACAACACTACTTCAGCCCGACTGACCGACCGCAGATTAACACGCGAGATACTTCTCCGTCGCGATAGAGTGTGGAGAAAGGGAAGCTAGACATACTGATGCGTTACGTTACAAAGCGGTTAACCCTCCCATAAGAAGTTAACACTACAAAAATTATGTTTGAATAGTCTGTCATTGTCCCTATGTAGAAACTGGAAATAGAGGTAAATACATAAATGAATTGTTTATTTCAGAAATCCCTAACATGCATTTAATCAAATTTTTGATAGACAAGAAACAACTTTCATCTTCAACATTAATGAAGATTCTCTGCAATAAAATCATATAAAACCATGCACACGGATGCATGACAGATGAAGGATTTTTACAAAAAAAAAAATGTTAATTTACATGACAATGCAAAACTAGCATCCAATTTTTGTCAAATTTCGAGAATCCACAAGTTTTATGAGAAAGCAACCATTCAGAATTCACTGTTGCCTAGTATATTGATCAAAATGGAGATAACGAATTTTCCAATGAAAAACTCATATAGTACGGTTGAAAATCACTGTGAATCTTATTTTTGCCAAAAATGTCAGTTGACGTGTTTCTAGAATAAACGTTTCAAATACGATACTGAATATTATAAGTATGTTTCAAAAGTAACCAGAATTGTGGTCAGATGATCCTAATGATTGAAACAAAAACTTCAATTTCAAATATAAGAAGGGAACTTTTATAAAATATGCCCATATTCTGATTCAATAGATATGTGAATTCCATAAGAAATCTGCTTACTATTATTATCAGCATTATCAGCACATATTACATTGACCAAGAAGAGCATTGAATTTGGATATAACAAACAGAATCCTTGTTAAACATTAAATATAGTGCAAAAAGAAGTCCAATGATATAGAGGATGTCTCATAAATCATGGTTCAAATTGAAGATTATAGAGAATATGAACTATATATTTGTACAAATTCAAATTGATTTTGACATGATAGTTTACGACATCAATAAAGTATTTATTTCTGATTAGAAAAGCTCATAAAATTGGACAGAACTGGTGAATTTGTTTTAAGAATAACTGATACAATTTTTTGCAAGATTTTCAATATAATAGTCATTTATTCTATGTATGATTTCTGAGAATAAAACTGGTTTTACTAGAACCCAGTGAATTATAAAAACTTGGTTTTTCAGGTAGGTAAACTAATTAATTGTCTGCTTGAACTGTAGGTAATACCTAATATTGCAGGGTATATAGTAAAAATCTTGCTGTAAATTGTATCAGTTATTGTTAAGTTCACATAAAATATTATTTATTATCATCATTATTACATTTACAAGCATTACATTACATGTGTTTCAAAAATAAAAGTGTTCTTACCTACAAATAATATATTTTATATCAATAGTCAAACAGCATTTAGGCTGGTACAACTACTCTTGTATGATAATTTATAAATTAATATATGATTGTCCAAAAACNTTTCTTTTATAACAATAACATAATTTTTGTAAAAATCACAGAAATATCAAAAAACCATGTGAAATTAGACCCTAAGTTATAAAAACTGTTCTCTACCACCAGCTCCAGTTTGAAACAAGCCTCTAAAATAGTCAACTGTGCCACAATTTATCTCTCAAAGTTTACAAAAATTCCCATACATAGACTCAAATTTGAATAGCAACATATATAGAATAAATAAATTTTTAGAGCAGCAAACCTTAATGAACAGCTTTTCTTGTTGCGATATTTGAGTCCACCTATATTTAACTGTGTGTTCCATAAGTTGTAAACCAAAGTGTCTGGAAATAGGTGAGTGCTGAATACCAGCAGCCAAGTACAGACCTGCCTCTGCACACAGTGGTGAAGTTTCTTTAAAACTCTCACAAGCTTGGTAGGCCCTCATTCTATCCTGTTGTGAAGCACCATCACTTAGGGTTAGGTCGACCGCTCTTGCTAAATCTGCTGCTAATGCAGCAACGTCTGGTCCAGCCATTTCTAATTATTTCTGCGGCCAAAAATGTATATCAGTTCATAAATTGCGAGCACATTGAAGCAAGCATGCCTTTCCGTTTTTTCGTAGGAACCAGTTAAGTGGGGGAATACAGACAATTTGGCAGTGTGATGTAGGTTAAGGATCTGAATATATGTCTTGAAAAACTTACGAAAATTTAGTTTTTGTTTACGACATATGATTGGACATTGTTAAAAAATGTGCAAACCAATTTGACTTGACGGACGGTTGCTTATTTCATCCGATCACATTGGCTGAAAGGTTAAATCCTAAATCAGCGAACTCTAGCGGATAATGTTAATATAATTGAGTCATAGAGCAAAGTATTTTACAAGAACTGAAACCGTATTCTGGGCCTAATTTTAATATAAAAATTCATTCAAACATATAGGTCTGGAAATGCATTGTTTTCAAAACACAGGGTGTTGCATTTTTCTGAATATTTATTTTTTATATTAGGTAATACTGTAAATATCCATTGGTCACGATAATGAATGAACTAACTTACTAGGATAATATTTGTAAGACACTTAAACAAAGTTTTGAGTAATTGTCGTTTGTCGATTTTGTTAAAAAACAGTTGAAAAATCAGTTTTTTATTTTTTATTGTACATCATTCCTATTACACTGAATAGAGGAGTTAGAAAGGAGCCCATTATGTGAATGATTCAAATTTGCAAATTTTTCACTAATATCACGTTCATTCTGGGCAGCCATGTAAAATATTTTGTCAAAACCCTCGACCTACGGCACTCGTGGTAAAGAAATGATACAGAGATTCAGCATTTTATTCACAGAGCTGCTGAATATAACTTTTGAGTGACGCACTTGTTCGATAGATGACCTATTTATTTTGTAGAAATACATATTCAATATAGAATAAAGAAAATAACTTTTATCTAATTTCTACTGAGATTTTTATTTGTTACTACCGGTTTCGGTTTATTAAACCATTTTCAAGTTTACTTGAACTATTCTCAAGTTTACTTGGGAACTGTAACTGGTCGTAACAAATAAAAATATTAATAGAAATTGGACAAAAGTTATTTTCTTTATNTAACAGCGGCGGCTCGTCAGAGGAGGCAAGGCAGGCTTAGCCTCCCCATAAAATTTGAGGCTATTCATCGCAATAAATTAAAAGATATTGACAAATAATTATGATTATTTTTTTCTAAAAATGATTGGGTATCATTACTTTACCATTAATTTTTAATATAAATACATAATATGCCCGAAAAAACACTATCGCTCACTACGTAGTACGTACCACACTGTATCCTGCATCAATAAACCTCAAACCCACCGCCCATGAACGAATAAACCATCAACCCGAAATAATAAATGCCATACGTTGCAAGGGGGCCAAGCCTCCGACCGTTTTAAAAAACACAAGCTGCGCGAGGCCGAACCAACCAGCGACATACGTTCTAATTTGTACTTTTATTTGCAGAAATTATAGCGTTAGAGGAGGCTATCCTCCAGTTGGTCTCCGTTAGGGTACGGCTGCGTTTGTTTTTTATTTAATTATTCTGACGGGATGCCGTGACGGACCGGGACTGAAAAATATTTCGGTAAATCGTTTTGGTGTTTCTTGCTTTTTTGTTGGACCTGTGTTTTATTTTCCGTACAAACTGAATACCAAACGTGGTCTAAAATAGGATACTCCGATTTAAAAAATTCGTCTTGTAAATTAAAATTGTTCAGCAAACAAAATATAGAAACAGCTTCAGATACAGCTCAAAAAGGGGCCATAATTTCTTTTAATAATCAGGTTAGGGAAAATCGGTCGAATTTAAAAAGACTTATCGATATTACGATATATTTGAGTTCCCCAGAATGAGCTTTTCGCGGACACGATGAAACCGAAGATTCGATAAATCGCGGCAATTACAGGGAACTTTTAATGTTATGGGGCAAATATGATTCCCAATTTGGCACTTTTTTAAACGGTAGCGTTTTTTTGGGCACCTCAAAAACCATCCAAAATGAGGTTATAGACAGTGTGGCCCATATTATTGAGGAAAATATAAGCAAGGAGATTGAAATTGTTTTTTTTTCATGGGAAATTGATGAAACTACCGATATTACCTGTACATCACAACTTTCAATCGTTTTTAGATATGTCAAAAATAAGCATAATTAAGTACATGTGCTTATAAAATATTTGTAGCAATTTTCAACAAAAGTGTTATATTAGAAGAGAAAATTATTATCATTCATTGACTGAGAAGAGTTAATCTAGGTATATCAAATAACTCAAAGACAGCCCTTTTTCCTTGTTTTTGTTTTTAAAATGGTCAGTTTTAAACGTATAATTTTCGGCAATACACAATTTTTGTTTGCATTCATGCAAATATTACGTATTTTGCTTTGAATAGGTGTGGTACTCCAAAAAAATGTTGCGCAGATTGACCTTTGTCAATATATATCGGGCATATTTTCACATCCGATGGGTTTTATTCTCATCTTGTGTTTTTATAAGTATTTATCGAGTTTGTTCACATCGTTTCTCAGATCATTGGCTATTTACTGGATTATTATCCGTGGTCTCCAAATATTTAATCCTGACGTTTCGTCTACAATTGCAATATGCATAATTGAAGGGGATGCGGCAGTAGTTGAAGTGATCTACCTTACTGCGATAAGCATCAAACGATTATTTCTTGTTTTGTTTATTATTGAATTCATTGAAATTTTGAAGTTTTCGTGGGATTTTGGGGCTTATTGACTGTGATTTCTTTTGCAGAACAACTACTGTTCTCAAACACTAGAATTGCAACTCTTTTCTCGATACGCGTAACACCAATAACTAAGTTGGAGTCTCCAGGAGGTGAAGTAGACTAATCACTACCTACTGACATTAGACTTCTTCATTTCCTGAAAACGCCAACTTGGTTGGTGAAACACGCGTCGAGAAGCGTGTTGCAGTTCTGGTGATTGGGAGTAGTCCTTGTTTTAGATTTATTCTATACCAGAGCTTCCAGTTATAGACGTATTATTATCACAGTTTTTTTGAGTGAATGCACATGTAAACAATCCCCTCATTTCTTTATTCCCGTGAAGTATGAAATTTGGAAAACAACTCTATATGAATATTCTTCATTCTTTGAGGAGTGGGAACCACAAAACTCAAATGTATATTTTAAGACGAAATATAATAATTATTTCTGTGTCTATACTGTTTGTGAATCAGTTTGTTTTTATTAGGACCTTAACACTTTTGCATTTGAGACTATCCACTATATTTATTTAATTTATAATCTCTCTTCATCAAATCCATAACAAGGGAGGAAGGGTTTAATTTTTCATGATTGTTAGTTAATGTTTACGAAAATAAATAATATTCAATAGTTTACTTACTTTTTAGCATAAGAAGTATTCAAACTGGTAGTGACAGTTAATTATCGAAACCTTTGGAAATAAATGAACATTTTATTCACTTTTATTTACTGAACATAATTTTCTAATTAGAGAAATGCAACTCTTGAGGTATTTATTGATAACCTGAAAATGTAATTGAGTTGTTAGTGAACGTTAACATACTAAAACAAAGCTACTTTGGTTGAAATGTTGGTCTAACAACCTGTCGATAAGAATGTGATTATTTCTGGACTACAATTGAATTATGTTCAAAGAATTCGAAGAATTTGAAATAATCGCTGGAAGGTATCAGTGGTCTGACTTCAGTACCAAAAAAAAATTACTGATTTCAAATTACAGTTGAACTTTGTTTTAGCGCAAACCCAGGTGGGATTTGGGTCCATCTGTAGTAGCAACATGATCCTGGAACTCTTGGCTGGGTATCCCTGGCAGCTAAAGTCATTACTGGAAAAAGAAGAAGAAGATGTTATTTTGTGATACTGGTGTTACTCGTTTGGCAACACTGACAAAGCACATGTTGAAAGTTTGTTGTCATTCGGTGGTTTGGAGTGTGTAGAGATTTTTAAATTGGTAAATTCACCTCAGTGAAGCGATTGAATCGCCGAGAGGTTACTGAATTTGTGAAAAATATAGTCTCACTTCAAAATTGTATCGAACATAATTTTCAAAAAATGGTAAGTTTGTCATTAAGTGGAAAATCATTTTACAGCATGCAATTTTACAGGCTGAAGAAGTCAATCCAAAAGCTTACCCACTGGCCGACGCTACCCTTACTACAAAAATTCTGAATCTGGTGCAGCAGGCTATGAATTATAAACAACTTCGTAAGGGGGCGAACGAAGTTACCAAAACTCTTAATCGGGGAATTTCTGAATTTATCGTTATGGCAGCAGACGCTGAGCCTTTAGACATCCTACTACATCTGCCACTACTTTGCGAGGACAAGAATGTTCCATATGTGTTCATTAGGTCTAAACAAGCATTGGGCCGAGCATGTGGTGTTTCACGGTCAGTTATTGCTTGTAGAGGAAAACGCTTTTTATAGTATCGACGAATGTTTATCATTTGACTTCAACACCAACTAATATTTTGAATTTACAATATACGTAGACAGTGATATTTATATAGAAATTGTTCACATCTCATTTTCTAATTTTTTATTTATTCATTTAGTGTTTTTATGATATTCTTATGATATATGATATTTGACAAAACCTTATAATACTATTGTATTTTTTTTATGGCGAATAAAGGATATTCTATTCTATTCTATATTTTGTAATACATATGGACTTGTTGCATCTCAAATTGTGAAAATTTTCGCACAAAATTACCCAACTGTTTCTGAAGGTTGGAAAATAGTGATAGATGGAATCGAATACCAATAATCGCAGTATTTGATTCTTTCAAGTTCTCAAGACATCTTGGGTACCTAGGAGAAATAATTGAATTCTTTCAGCAAACGAACAGTCCAGGGGAATTTCTGAATTCAGCAAAAAAATTCTTAGGAATTGCTTTAACAAATATACGTTTCGAATGGACCAATTTATGTATCCGTTGATAAATTTGAGAACGATGTAACGTTTGAGACATGTAACAATGCAGAATCATCCCAACTTCAACTAACAATATATTGAATGCGTTATGGATTTTCGTCAAGTAATGGCCGATTCCATCACATATCCCAGTGTTACGTTAGAATCCGTTAGATCATTACCACTAACTTACGGATGTAATTCAAAATGTAATTTCGGGAGCTTGTATAAGTTGGTATAGTTGCCGGAGAATTTTAATGTTTTTTTGCATATTGAATAATTTTTGTCAATTGCTTTTCGAAAAAAGATTTTCCTGAGTTTTATCCTTCGCAAAAACATATACATAACATATTTAAAATAAGGTATTTTTGAAAGTTCTCATTTTTTCATGACATATATAGGGTCGATTCAATTGATCACTACCAGAAACTTATTATAGTAGGTATAATTCCAAAAAAGTAGTCACTAAATTTTCAGAAATGACTGACGTTTTCGCCTTTATCCGTCTCTTGCAGTGGAGTACGGAAATTATACTGAACAGACGATGTAGTAGGTATTTGTTCAAGTGACTTGGCACATTTGATTTCACCAAGAGCGGTACATAAGAACTCTTTCATCAGGAGAACTGCGTTTATGTAGAATAAAATTCCTGAGAACGTTTTCCCAATGGATTTGATCTCCAGACTCAAATTCAATGTGAATCGCTACTTTCGCACAGGCACCACTCTGAAAGCGCCTTAAGGATTTTCTTGCCCTAAAAAAATTCCAATTAGATAACAATGTTTTAATTTTAACGCAATAATATTTCTGAGAATTTAGTACCTATTATTATGGAATTGTACAATACCAAATTTAAATTAACATTAATGAGGGGCAGCCATGCTCGTCCAAATTTCACATCCTTTTTAGCAAATTAAAATACGAATGTCGTTAGAAAGTTCAAATATTTGAACTTTGATGCGAAGCGTATGCAGCGTATGTATCATGGAATCACAGAACATATGTGATACATGTCATATTGTATCTACATCGCCGTAAAAATATATTTGAACTTTATAGGGAAGTGTTATACGAATGACAAACTTCGAAATTACATGCAAAATTATTGGTTCTCAAAAAGTTTCCATAAGAAGTAAAAGGTGTTCGTGAAATTTTTAGAAATCGCAGAATATTTAATAGATATAATAATAAAACGTCTTTATTTAACGTGGCGAAGTGTCGTAGCAGAACGTATTCTCATTTAACCGTATTTTAGAAATCATTGGAATGTCATTACTTTTAAAAATATAAAAGTTGATGTTAAAACCACTGTCGATTGAGTACTTCCTTTTTGAATTAAATTTCAACTATTTCTGTGTAATTTTCTTTCAATTTAGAATTGTTGTTGGTAGTGGTATAGTGGTCCTGCGGAAAGACTGGTGAGCTGGTTGTAATTGGAATGTGGACATGCTGAATAATTTTTCTTGTTACTTTTTTAATTTGTCTTGGATTTCTTGGCTGGAGAGCCTAGATAGCATTGGCCGCAGTGGACTAAAAAAGAAGTTTGGTTATATTGTTGTTTGAAATTTTCCGTTTTGAATTTCAAAAATAAAAATGGATTTGATTGAAACCGCTAGAAAAGCCTATAGTGAACCTTTTTATGTGAAAGACTTTTCCGAACATGGACAAATTTTACACATCCAGTTTTCACAATTTGAATGGTCCCAAGACATATTGCTTATAGGTTTCAAAAAGAAGATTTTATTGGCTCACCTGGATCTAATCGTAATTTCAATTGCCCGAAACTGTTTTTGTTTTAGTATATTTATCCAAACAATTTTAGGATACCATCGAGTTGAGAATTGTTACAGAATTTTCTCATCCAGCAAGATGTACAACCCTTAGTATATCTCCAGACACATCACTGAGTACTTTGCCTAATCGAGTTATATTCTGTGTAGGAGGCAATGATTTTAAAATTCGAATTATCACTAGCGATTTGTCTGAAAGTAATACTTGTTTGGTGAGTCCCATTTTTGAAAGTATTGTCTTCTAGAGTAATATAAGAATTGGAAATGTCCAAACAAATGAAGAAATAAAAATAAAAATCAATACAAATTCACTGAAATGTGTAGTTTATCTGCAGATGTTCCTTCGAACAAAAATCATATGAGATATTCCATCTGAAACAATCATGTTCAATCTTACTGAAGTCACTTCTTTATCAATTTGTGAAATGAATACAGTTGAGAGACAAAGAATTAAAGAGTACTGGCACAAATAATTTCTTTCATGTCTTTTGAATATTTGACACAGACTGAAATAAATCTGTTCAGTCAAGATTTCTGAAAATTGGAATTTATGGGATGTATTTCTAACAACCTATGCTACTAACACCACCTTCTCATCCATTATCAAACCAATATAATAATGCTAAACCTTTAGGAAAGGTATTGAGAAATTGAATTTGTTAAAGAAAAATCCATCGCAAGCATTGTGTAACTATTTAAAATTCCCCAAAGAGTCATAAAGTAAAATTTCTTTCAAAACGACTAATTCATCAGAGAAAACTGCCTGCTTGATTCAATGAGAAAATATCAAGTGGTTACTGAACTGGACAGATAAAGATTCAGTTTGGTTAAATGGGTAGGGTGCAAATAATACTTCACACTAACATATTTAACACTCATTAATACAGTTTTTTGTATGATTTTCACTATAAAAGGTTTCACAAACTGTATTAATGAGTTTTTATATGGATTTTCATTAAGTATGGGCAAGTCCTATTCAACAGTAATATTTAATGCTAACAGATGTTTCGATACACCATGTCATCTTCTGAGCGAGTTCTGAACTAACCTAGGCATATGAAGTCATCTTGAATACCAAAAGTTGCATTGGTTGGTAAAGAGAGGTATCAAGGGGAATTTCACCTATTTTCAGGACATAGAGTGAAAGATTAGTATAGTTGATTAATTTGATGGTACAGTAATAATGATAGTAATGTTATAGAACACAATAAAACAAGAAAATAGATGCAGTAATGAATGAATAGTAACAACAATAATGACAATTATACAATGTATTAGAAAATAATGAGTACAAATCTTTACCATGTTTCATAATGAATCTAACCTTTTTCTTCGCCTCCAAGGCTTTTTTTATTGATGTAGTAGGTTAATGACACATTTGTTGAAAAAAAGTTCAAGTCTTTGATTGTATCGCAAGCGAATAGTAATAATAATAATAATNGATTATTTTTGAATATTTGATAACGTCACGAAATTTTCCTGTTTGGAAGATTAAATTAATTAGTTCTGTTAGGGGTTCCACAATTATATCACCAGCTGCTTTCAGTATTTTACTGTTTAGATCATGAATATCTGGACAGGAGGAGTTTTTCAGGGATGAGATGGCATCAGCGACTTCGTTTGTGTTCACTGGTTGGATGAAGAAAGAGGAGGATGGGATAGGAAAATTTTTGAAATTCAATAGTTGCAGGTCAGGTACTGAAGGTAAAGTTTTAATAATGTTTTCGGCTACACTAGTGAAAAATTCATTGAAGACTTGGGAAGTTAAGTCTTCTGTTATACTATGGTGCTTGTTTTTCCTGTAGTAGTAGATTATTTTCAATATTGTAGGGGTGTCCAATATATATCTGTTGTAAATATCACAATTTTGTATTTGGCTTTAATGTGTAGTTACATGAGATACATGTAAATACTTTTTAGCAGGTGGATGATAGAACCCGTGATTGGTCAATGATATCAGTTTAAGGTCAATCTAGGAATGTATGTTGTACACACATATTGTATGTTGTACACACATATTGTATGTTGTACACACATGTTGTCGAGTTGAATTAAACCCACACATAAACATGTTTCATTTAGGTTTCTTTTCTTCTAGGTAATAGGTAAACACTCGAGCTACATTAATGACACTATGTTTGATCCTGAAAATAATTATTTAGCTTCTGCAAGTGATGATAATACCGTAAAAATTTGGTCTACTGATGATTACAAATTGAAGTCCACTTTCAATTTAACTTCACCTGGTAAGTTAAATAGTGGGGTTACCCCTATATTCACAAGTTAGTCGCATAGCTCACCATTCATTTGGGTATATTTAATATACTTATATATAAAATATTCACTTTGACATATAAAATTTCTTGGCAAAAACTGATTTTTCAGTGAAAATTAACTTTTCAGCAGGGATAAAACAGTTCAAAAATGTATGTGGCCAGGGTAGCCCTAAGGACCTACTTCGAAAAAAGGAATACATACTATATCAAGTTTTATTGAATTATTTTTTTCTCCTGAGGTTTACGGCGTTTTTAGGCCTTATGATATCAATTCATACATTCAGTATCGTCGTTAAAAAACATTAACCTAGATGAATGAGAGAACCAACTCTGAGACATTCTTTTTTAATTTCGACTTGTCTGTAATGACACCCTTGATTATTTGATAACGCCCTGTGTATTTTGAATGGAATAAAAGTAAATTTGAATTCAAATCAGAAATATCAATTTGTTTAAAGAAAGGAAACTATTCACCGATAAACTTTCATTTCAGGAATGAATGTGTGCTGGCACAGGTCAGATGACTGTAAGCTTCTTGTTGCTGAAAAAATCGGCATTATTAGGTTTTATAATGTCGATAGTGAGACTCCCATTATATCTATCGATTATAGCAAGCCACTGTCTAGTGTACATTGGGCGCCGTCAGATAGAGATCTAATAGCATCATTGCAACTTGGCGAACTTCTCATATGGGACTTAACAAAACCATGGTGAGTTTCAATTTTGTTAAAAAAAGTTACTAGCTATACTGTTATATTAAAGTGCATTCATTTATAAATGCCACTCTGTAAACGCATCCGTAATGTATTTTATGAATGAAATGTTATGAATTCCATGTCGGCTTGTGACATATGAAAAAAATGTAAAGACACTTATTTCAAATTGTTATAAAACAAAAACTAAAAATCAAATCAAATCAAAATCGACCATGGATCAACACTTTACACCGGTATTGTGTTNTGAAACTGTGGAACTTTGTGCTACAGTGATAAGTGATTCGAAAAGAAGTGTTAACAAAATAAAAATCAAAACAAAGCTAGCAAGAATCTATGAAACCACTTATGATATATCCAGGTCTACCAACACTGAATATTGTCGAGAATTTTAAGCATAAATGAGGCGCAAAGTGCACGGTTTTTCAAAATGAAGTGAATTGTAGTTTGGAAAATTTTAAAACAATTGCCACGAAAACATGTCAGCTGACTAAGGGGTAAGGAGTAAGATCTGGGGATCGAGCTGGCCAGTTAATTGGTTCGTTGTTTCCAGTCCATTTTCTTGGGAATATTGCATCTAAATGTTCCCTTACTATTGCTGCATTATGGGGAGGAGCGCCGTCCTGTTGAAAATATTGTATTTCATGGCGGATATTTAGTGGCAATTTATCTAAGTAGCTATCGAATTCATTGGTTTAACCAACCATTGTTGGTGATTTTGATTCGTCCGTCCATATTATTCTTTTACAGATATTTCCAACTTCCCTATTTATACGTCTTAACTACTTCGCAAATCATACTCTCCTTCCATAATCCCTTTCATTGAGGTAATGAACTTTGCGTATCCCATAGCATTTATATTTGTACTTTTTCAAAATAGTTCTGGTGGATTTTACAGAAATCCCCATTTCGTGGGTAATTTCTCGTAAAGAACAATCTTGATTAGCATAATTTTTGTGACTGGCCAATCCTAAATAAAAAAAAAATATGTTTTCACTGTGTAAATTTGTATGTGGTAATATTTGCTTACCCATAACATTTATTTCATTCCTCACACTTTCAGAAACCACACATCTTCTTGTTTTTTTTTCTGTCAAATGCACCATGGTCTCTCAAATTTATTGCTAATCTTATAAACAATTGGATGTTTGGAATACGACGATTCGAGTATAGTTCAACATACATATTCCTAGTCAAAAGAGGATTTCTATTTGATTTTGCATAATTGAACAGCGGTATCAGCCCTGTCATCATTTGAATACATCTTTGATACGTTCATGAACTCTGACAGTTCCCAACAGATATCAACAACGCATTCATTTTTCCTGCCATGGAAACCAAGCAAAGCCTACGCGTTCAAGATGGTAAATGAATTGAGATGTTATTTGATCATACCAAATTATACAACAATCGAATATTGACCATAAACTGATATTTTCGTTACTTCAAGGATTGAGAATTATAAAAATATTACGAATTATAATTGATTAGGGAAAAATCAGCCTTGCAAGAAGACGGCAATACAAAAATTTCTAAAACGAAAATGTACGAATTATCATTGTGTTGGGGTACCTACCTGTCGAATTTATTGGGTTGTCTGAATTACATTGGGAAGAAATCTAAAAAATTTACAAAAGAAGTAACGACAGGGCCGTAATTTAAAATCGTTATCACTGATGATGGTAGTTATTTTAAATGAAACGCTNTTACCTCAACTAACAGTTGTAGCCGACGTGGAAGGCATCGGTTTTTAGTGTCCCATGTTGGCCTCTTTGCCGTCGTGGTACACAACGGCGAACAGCTTGTAATGCTTCTCTTCTGGAAAATGTGTTTTCGACGAAACTAGTATCGAATTAATTTTCAAGTCGAATTCAAATTCCACAATATTAGGAGGCAGCGTGAGAAAAGCCTGGAAATTCTCAGTAATGTGATCTCCGGCACGACGTATGCTCGACTTTAGTTGCCCCTCGAAGATGTCGGTTATGGGTGTACTGTCAAAGTTGGTCCTTTTGTTTACATATCTATTATTTTTTGATCGTATAACCTTCCACTCATCACTTGAATCATTGCCCGTAGCAGAGTGAAAAGGATGTTTTCCTTCTTCAGCGTAACATTTAAACAAATCCATTAACTCCAACATTTCATCATTAAGAATTTAGACCATTCAAAAGAAAACCAATAAACTCTTCCGCATCTTGCTGTCCACCCTCAATCCAGTCTGTCCTCATGCTATGCAACATTTTATAAATCCACGTCGGGCCGAATTGGGCGCCTGTTTTGATGATAACTGCATGTTCGTTCTTGGAATTTTTACCCCCTCTCATGTCTTTCGACCAAATTTTGGAAGGTGAGTATTCAGACTGCCTCACAAAATGACACATTCCAACTATAACCCGGGTGGACTTCTTTCTCACGTTCGAAGAGAAGTTTTTGCTTAGACTGTTCGATTAGTTATAAAATTCAAAAGCTATATTTTCTTTGATTTATATTGAGTTTATATTGAGAAATATCATTTGTCACAAAACTCATGCTCATGACAGAACATGGCAATGTACTGGAGGGTAACAATAGGTAGGCCAAAAAAATCATATGAATATAGGATTAACCTATCTGTCTCCTCAACTCCCCACAAAAACACTCATTCTCAATAGAAAATGAATAGGAATTAAGAGAATTTACACAAATAATTCTGTAAGGGTTTTGACTACATAGGACTCATCTTTTGCATTGTCAGAAATAAATACTTCATTTCTGAAATTTCACATGAAATAACTTATGAAGTATTTAGATTTTGATGGAAGGTACACTCTATTGATCCGGTCGAATTTTCAAGTTTTATTTATTTTCCGAACTGTCGATACTCGTGTTTTGAGTGTACGTAGTTAAGTAAACATATCTATAGGTGTGTATAGCAATAGTTAATGGTGAAGAACACCAAAGGAATTCAATTCTGAAATATATTATTATCAGAAAGGAATACATTTGCAATGAGTAACTGAAATATTATATCAAATTAGAACACATTTCTGTTTTTGAGTTAAGTGGAAGAATATTTTTATGGTGTTTGACCCTTAACAAAAATAAACTTCGCCCTTTATTTTCAGTAACATCAAAGGTAGTTATTAGTATTTTTATGTTCTGTTTTTGTATATATTCATTTGAAAATAATAAAGACGATTATTATTATTATTACTATGAGCTTTTATTACTTATCCCACTTCTATAATTTTCTTGGTGTATTTTCTCCATCTGGAGATTTTCTAGTGATTTTCTGTACACGATGATCTGTTAATGACCTAGATTGGGAAAATTCAGAGGTTGACAAGTTGTAACTTTCAGATTGTCAGGTTCACAGCAGTATATTTATGATAGAGTGGATTTCAAATTTGGGCACATAACTCTAATTTAGATGTGAGGTCTAAATAATGATCTGTTATGAGATAATGTTCATTTATGAACTTCTGGTGATAGTGTATTATTTGTTTTGAAGCTTTCTTTATTGATATGATTGGTTCATGACATTTTTGATTTGAAATAGGCATATTAATCTTTGAGATCATTGCATTGTGTTCTTAAGTTACTATGAAGATTTTATGTATGAGAAATATTTGTTTTTTATTAATTCATGGTACTGCATTTCGTTATCTTAAGGTGAAAGCATTTCATTCAAATCCTTTTGAATGTTAAAAAAATCATATATTATTAACTTATATCCGAGTTTCTCAATTAGTTGATGAGTTTCATGAATTGATTTTAAAATATTAATCATAAATGAGCATAAAACTTAAAACCATAGCTACACTTTTCTTTTTCAACTTTTGCTTCACACGGAGCATTATAATTAAGAGTTTGATATTTTTTCTTTCAGCTTACCCATTCACAACAACCTACTTTTTACAGAAAATGGCGGAAATGTGAAATTTTCTCCTCAGGGAGAACTTATTGCTGCCGTGAATAGTTTGGACAGAACCTTGAAAATTGTTCATGTTAGGAGTCAAGCTGGAAAACTTACTGCTAGCGTGACATTACCTACCAATGTTTGCTGGCATTATAGATACCCTTTAGTTTGTATCGGGGATGATTACAAATTATGTTTTTGGAAGGTTTCTGCTAAATAACAAAGTTTTATTTATAGGTGAATTTTTTATTGCATTTCATCAGATATTATCTTCTTTTGATTGTATCACTGTGAATCTTTCCATCGCATTTTGAATTTGTTTTTGCTGAAAAACACACTTTTCTGTTTGAAATTAGAGTTTTATTTCATCTGTAGTATTTTAGTTTTGTTAAACGTAATTCGATTGAAGATTTGAAAGTTTAAAATTAGAATAAGTATGCGGTAAGACTGATAAATGAAATGGAAGTAACAATACATATTCTCAGAAGGAGTCCAAGAACTAAAATAGATTTTTGATTATTGAATGTATTGAATATCAAGTACACTCATTAAAAGGATGATAATTATTTTAAAATGGCATGTTGAAATTCTTTCAGGAAAAGAAATAGTATTTGAGAAAATATGGTTTTATTTTCTTCTTGAATTCGTTCAAATTGAGATTTTTTACTTCGATGATTTTTTTAAGATAGGATTAGTTAGTCTATGTAAAACATGGTTTTATAGCTATGTGAAGAGTAAATAATCTGTATTCAACATCAGAAAACTTATGTGAAGGTAGCTTGAAATTCCATTTGATCAGGGGTTTCATGGGTGAATTATTTCAGAAAACTTGGAATATTCACCGTGCCCTCATATTTCTTTCTTTTTTCTTTTGTTATGTTTGTCGCAAAGCATCCCCACCTTTTTGCTCGCAATTGTGATTCATGTACTGACATGGAGATGACAACCAGATGGCGAAATAACTTTGCCACACCCACTGGTGGGACAGTAGCCTGTTGGGTTGACGTGGGTGGTTTGCTTCACTCACTCAATCAACCGCTGTGTGAACCGGTGGTTCGAAGCAAGGCCGGACGATCGATTTTCATTTCCTATCGTCCAACCTATGTTAGGAATCACACGTTAAAAGGCAAGATCTCGTTAATCCTTAACTCGCACAAGTTTAAACTTTTGAGAGTTGTCGTTCGTAGGGAAGCGACAGCTGATTAACAGAAAAACATATTTTAACAGACTCATATATCCAACAATACCAATGGAAATAACTTTCGAAAATCGGTCCTAATGTATCTGAAGGATAAAAACTTCTTTTGACTGCTGTATGCTGACTGCTGTATGCTCCAGACTAAGCACATGTTGTTACATGTCAAGGAATCTCAGAGACTCTGTTTCTTTTAATGTACTTAAATGACTGTATTATGGACTTGTTCAGTCAGTTCTACAATATGGATTAGTACCCTGGGGTTTTTTGCCACATGCCGATAAGGCATTCAGAGCACAGAAAAAAATATTAAGAGCTATGTTGAATGTCCATCCACAGTCTATTTAAAAAATCGTTAATAAAAGGTTTGTCCAGCTCATACATATTTCAAATAATTACATGTATTGAAGAAAATCGAAGCAGGTTCAAGAAAAATTAGAACTTTCACTCACATGACACTCGTCTGACTACATAGGAGTTAAATTATATAATGAATTTAAATGTATCTGTGAGCTTAAACGATATACCTGTAATATGTCTAACATGTCATTTAGCATTAAACTTAAGCGTTTCCTGACAGAACAAATATTTTATAGTATAGAAAAGTTTCCAACTTTTTAAAATGTATTTGTATTTTCCAACTTTTAAAATGTGTTTCGTTTTTAAATATTAATTTTTAAAATATCAACTTACTAATATCAATTCTTGAAATTTTGACTTACCAATTTTAATTATAACTTTAATTTCACTTTCATTTTAATTGTATGTTAATTATCTAAAATGCATATTTACATCCCATTTTTCTGACTAGTCCGATAAAGATGCATCTGTCTTTGATCTTTTGTTAATTGAATATTTATTTATTTTTTGAGTCCCTGAGATGCTTCACGGTTGTTTTTATTTTTTTTTTGAACATTTTGATTCTACTGATTGTGTTTTTGATTCGACTGACATATGTAATATCATAATTTCATCATACTATTGTGATTTCCCATTGATTGATGTTTTTAGGTTGTGAGGATGTTTTGTCTTGAATATTATTTCACTATTTTTGGTTGTTCTGCATCCAATGGAAGTTACAAGTAATTACACATCATTATTATATCTAATAACTCAACACTAAGAAATATAAATAAAACGAAAGAATTAACAGGGAAACTATTTATTCTACAGATTCACTAAGATAACACAACTACATTTCTAACTCATAGAATGGAATTCAAAATTATTGCTAAGTCGCCAATACTTTCCAGATAATAATCCGGTTTGTGTTCTTCAAGAAACTTCCAGTTATGCAAATCTTCAATTTTGGTGTCACCGGTAAGTACCAATAATTTTTTGAAATTTGCCATACTTGCCAATATCAAGTCTTGTTCTATCCTGAAATAAATTATTGTGAAATATGAACATATAATTCTAAAATATATGATGTATCTAATATACAGGCCGTTTTTCTATCTGACCTACAAAAGGTCGGTTAAATTGGACAAGAGTTTACTATTTTGGGGAATTAGAATAATAGTTTTTCAGATCGAGAATATCAGTGGTTGTTTTTGAAATATTCACTGAAAACCAGAATTGTTGAATTAGTTGCTATACAACTCTTACTAGAAAGTTTTTCAGATGAACCATGATTCTCTAAACTCCTCTCAATGTGGTTTTGAAAATATCTTTTGAATGGCTGACTTCTCTCAGGGTACAATTCCAGCGGCAGTGGTTGATAGTGGATACAAAAAATGACTTATATAAATCGTTGACACATAACCCCAATGACATCATCTTGAAACTACGTTATATCAATTACAAAAACAAACTCACAAAGTTGATAAAAAATGCAAGGTTAATTACTATTGCAACAAAATAAACACAGAATCAGATTCTAAACAATTTTGGAAAATAGTCAACGAAATTAGTCCTATCAGGAAAAAGCGGGAAAAATTGACTCTATCATCGATTCTAGTGGAAACTTGTTAAGTAATAAAACAGCTATAACCAACGAATTCAATGCACCTCTCATAACAACTGGTTTGACATTAGCAAATAAAATAAGGCACGATCTACACTATGTTGCCCAAAGAACGTCTACTTTGAACTCGCTCTTCCTAGCACCGACGGATGCATCTGAAATGAAAAGTGTCATTAATGAACTCAAACCAAACAAGTCTCCTGGGGTAGATGACATACGAGCTGAAACCTTAAAATGTATTTCTGAATATATCATTGAACCACTCACCTATATAATCAATGAATGCATGATTGCATGCATGGAATTTGGCCACAAGTTTTCAAATAAAGTGTAGTGGTTCCTATCTATAAAAAATGAGACAAAAATAATGTGTCAAACTACCGACCAATAACTCACATATAGACAATAACTCACTTGACGAAGGTTTTCTTGAAGATTCTTGAAAAACGCCTCAGTTCATACATTGCGAAATATAATCTACTTACCGAAAAACAGTTCGGATTCATAAAACAAAAATCAAATGAAGATGCTATGTTGAAATTAATTCAAAAGGTATCCGAGTCCATGAAGGAAAGTAAACCATGCCTATGTGTTTTCATGGACCTTTCCAAGGCCTTCGATACGGTGAATCATCAATTACTGCTTGAAACGCTACAAGATATTGGAGTCGGAAGTAATACTTTGAAATTATTCAAATCCTATCTCCAACACAGACACCAATTCGTGAAGATAGACTGCAGCAATATCAGCACTATTCAGTATGGAGTACCTCAGAGAACAAGTTTGGGACCACTTCTCTTCAATATTTACGTGAACGAAATGCTTTTGCTGAAGTCTAGGGGAGGTATACTAGGTTTCGCTGATGATACAGCCATTTTTTACAAAGTTATTCGTGGGATGAACTTAGGGACATAGTTGCATCGGACTTTCATATTATCTGGAAATGGCTGAATCATAAATTACTCACAATAAATGTTGATAAGACACACTTCCTACCATTTTGCTGCGATAGGACAACTTCCCCTAACTTCGATAAAATTCAAGTTGATATTCCAACAGAACAGTTCGTTATCAAATCAGTAATATCTTCAAAATATTTGGTAGTACAGATAGATACACATCGCAAGTGGAACATTCATATTCAATTTCTATACCAAAAGCTGAGATTCATTCTCCACAAGTTTAAAGTCCTGGCATCCTCACTACCACTAAAGCAAGTAAAAACACTGTATTATGCCCTAGTTGAGAGCCATCTTCGATACGGCTTATTAGTATGGGATGGTGCCCTGAAAACTCATTTATATCCTATAGAGGTACTTCTGTAATTTCTTGTTTATTCACATAAATCTTATAAAATTCATGTAAACTGACAGGATGAATAAACTTTATTATCATTATTTGTCAAACATCACGTATACAGAAAGCATATCATCTTTATAGTCATTACAAAAAAATTCACGGTTTTCCCCTCAATTTTACACGAATCGAATGTCTCAATTACATTTTTGACATTAAATTATAGATATTGTAACGGCCCTGACCGATATCTCAGCCAGCAAACGCATGACCCATCGTGAACCACCGCGAAAGGTATAGATGAATGCTGAAACCCCTAGAGGGATCTGGAGCGATCGTTGCCGATATAAAAAGGCCACTTCTAGAAAGAATTCGAACAGTGAAGATGAATTAAGCGTTAGTTTCTAAGTGTAGAATATAAATTAGTTGTGATAGTGAAATATTGTTAAAAATAAATTTGTTTGAGACAGTTAATTCTTCAATTCGTTACAATTGGTGATCAGAAGTGGATTTTTAAAATAAATTAGTGAGCGCTGGGTGGACACTTTTTGTATTACGGTGAAACTGACTATAAGACTTATTTGTTCGCGTAGATATTGGTGATTCATTGTGTTTCGCGAAGTGGACAGTACCGGACTACGGAAACATATACTGATAGACCTTTCTTGCGAAAAATAGACTTGTGAAAATAATCAAGTGTTTCGGATTCGATTAAAATAAGTGGACGTATTCAGTTTTGTGGAAAATAGACAATAAAAGACAAAATGTGTTCGAGGAAAGTGCGTCTAGTGGACTTGAAACTCGCTGAATTGAAACAAGAATTGGAGGAGAGAGAGCTAGATTTTTCCGGAAAGACATCGGTACTCCAGAAGAGACTATGGGATAACTTGATTGAATCAGGAGAAGATCCCGAAGCATATTTATTCGAAGTTTCTGGGGGTGATTTGAGTTCAATAATGAACAAACTAGATGAACTTCAACAAAGTTCGGTGAGTTTTAAAGATGAACTTCAACAAAACTCGAAGGATTTGGAAGATAAATTTCTAGATAATTTAAAAAGCTTGAAGAAAGAACTTCTAGAAAATGCAGAAGGCTTGAAGAAGCTTTGTAGTGTGGCGTGCCTACTCGAAAAAAGGATAGGAACCATCGAGACAGAGATAGACAAAATCAGAAAGGAAATCAAAGGAGAGATCTAAGATGAAATCGGAGCAGAAATGAAGAAAATGGAAAAAAGTTAGGCAATGAAATCAAGATGAAGGAAACAATTAACAAGTTGCAAAACCAAATCGTTAATTCTGTCCACCCCACCGAAACGGTTACCGAAAACTCAATTCCGGAACCGCCGACAATTTGAAGCTGCGGCTAGAGCGAATGAATGGAATGCAGGAGAAAAGGAGGTAGCATTAACACTGGCGTTGCGTGGAGAAGCAACGAACGGTCTGCAAACCCTCATGGCCCAGGAACAGGAGTTTGAAGCCGACATAGCTCGATTGGTTAGTCTGGCATATCCTGCTACACAGGAAAATGTAATGGAGCGGTTAGCAGTTCAGGTATTCTTGGATGGACTTCGCGACCAAGAAACGACGCAGGCCTTGATGCTAGTTCATCCCAAACATCTCGTGGATGCACTGGCAAGTGCTCCGGAGTTTGAGGCTGCAAAACAATCCTGCAAGAGTCAGAGCAAAGTTCGAGATATCGAGGAAGATGGACAAGTGCCTGCTGATATTGAGGCCACCATCAGAAAAGTAATAATTCGCATATTTGAGGGTAACCGTAAGATGAAACGGCCACCAAGATCGAGAATTACAAGCAAGAGTAATTGTTTCAAATAAATTTTGTAACTAATTTTTTGATACAGTCATTTTGTGAATATATAAAATGAAACCAAACATGTCTGTGATTTCGAATAAGTATGTATAATTATACTATAAAATGATCATTTTATCGTATTTCCCCTACTTTTAGTAGGTATCAAATCTGTTAATTATTTTAGGTAACGAAAATCCGAACCATTGCCACCTAATATGACTGACAAATTTCTCAATCTGTCGGGTTTTGAGACTTCTATAATTCAAGTAATGTAATATGT